TTCTTTGGCCCCAGAGGGCAAAAGTAGAGGCAATGGGTGAAAGCTGCAAAGAGGCAGGATGAAATATTTCCTAACAATTTGAGCTATCTTCTCCTCTCTGGAGGTCTTCAAACAAAGACAAGATGACTTGTTGGGTGTATCACTGAGGAGAGTCTACTGTGTGCACTGGGCTAGATGGCTACTAAAGCCTCTTCTAATGTAGAAATTCTCTAATTCTGTTAAATCCCTTTAACTTTTACTTGATTTCTTGTGTGGGGAACTTGGGATCTGGATCAGCAACTTCTCTGTAACTTATAGTCTAAGGGAGTTGCCTGGGGCACTGAGAGATTAAGTGATTTGCCCAGAATCTGGCGTATGTGTCCACTTGAACCCTGCTCTTCCTGACTCTAAGATCAGTCCTATATCTGCGATGTCACCCTGACTTGCATGTGGCTGGCCTTCTTCTCTTAAAAGAGGCGAGTTATACTGCAGAAAGTGAGCAACTTGCAAACACTTAAAACTGTATTATTTCTCAGATGTTTATTAAAATATTTAGTAGTTCTTTTAAAAAAAGTCTGAGGCAAGTCGCATGAGTGTACAGCATACCCAAAGAATAGTTTCATTGACAATTCTATGGCATATGCAGTTATGTTATTCTAGGTATGTTTTTAAGAGAGGATAGATTTTTAGTTGCAGAGCATCTTATGTACCTCAATGCACTGATATAGTGCTAGAAACTTTCCTATCCAAAATAACATAAAAATGCACATTGATTTAAAATATTTTTTCAACAATTATGACTCTGGTAATAAGAATACATTAAAAGGAAAAAGAAGGGGGAAAAGTGTGTGTGTAGGAACAAATAACAACAATTCAAATACATAATACTGAATAATTCATTAAATAGACCACACTAAGACACCAAGTGGGCTGTGATCCATTTCAGGGGGAAGGAAGGTCAGAAGGATGAAATCACATCTTTGAAGTATTGAAGTTAAGGCTCTATGGGTTCCCACAAATGTCTGGGACTCTTTACCACTTCCCAGGTTCCATACACTATTTGGGGTCATCAAGTGTTCCGACCACAGCCTGAGCGCCTAGCAATACAATACCCTCCTTTTCAGCTCCTTTGCATGTGCTGACTTTCCTCAATACATTGTGAGCTCCTTGAAGGTAGGCACTCGTGCCTTTCTTTGCACCCCCACCACTTAGAACAGTATTTGGCATATAGTAAGCCCTTAATAATATTTATTGACTCTGACTCTATGCTTCTTTTTTTAAACAAAAGTTACTCGAAGCCAAAAACAATAAAGCATTTAAGACAGAATTGTAAGGTAACCTCTCCAGTGCCTCCAGAAGGAGTGACACTCAAAGCCTCCTCTAATTTCTCTGCTTCCTCACCACAGCAAAAGGACACTATCCTTTCAGACTCACATCCTTGGTAGTAAAACTTTGGTTCCAATGCCATCTGCCTCGTGAGTTTCTTTTCCTCCCATCTCAAGCAGGCAGCCTAGTAATGTTAGTGCCTTGGAGTTGGCTTCTGCTATAGCTCTGGCCAGGTCTTCCTACCCAGCCTTCTCCTGTGTACTCCATGGATCTCTAGGCCTAGCTCTGAGCTCAGTTCTGATTCTCTCTGTGTTATTCCTCTCTCTCCACCCAACTGCTCTTTTCCAGTTTTATACTGACTGGACTTTTAGGGTGGTCTTACTTTACCCCTCTGCCCTTCTAGGTCAGGCTACCTGCTTCTCCTTCTTTCTTGGCCACCATTTCTGTTTCATGCGGCTGCTCTCATACTCCTGGTCCACAAACATGTGATGCTATCTGATGTATAATCACAGGGCAAAGGGTTGTATTTTATCTAATGACTAGCATCTCCTCCTAGAGCAAAACAGGGGCTACCTGAAGCTGTGGTGAAGAACAATCATTAAAATGCTGTGGCAAACTCTGACCATATCAGACTATATGACCATTTTACCTCTCTGCATTTTTTTTTATATTCTCACTCATCCTCTGGTGGTATCTGTTAAGTTTATAATAGTAATTTCAAGAAGTCTATTTCATTATGGATTGTCAAAGGAGATGCAGTGTTCTTCATTTAAATTTTTAAAAATTATCTCAAGGTAAAAAATAAAGAATATTCAACCGGGAAGGCAAGAGACCTTTGTTCTACTACTATCTACTGTGGACTATATGGGTGATCATATATAAACCATTTAATTTTTCTGGGCAGAGAAAATAAAAGTAGGCATGACAGTACTAAAAGTCTCAGAGAATTATGAGATGGAACATTTTAATATGACATTTTGTAAACATATGTTTTAAAGCACCCCAAAATTCATCTTTTCGTGTCATATGGGTATTGATTTTGTAATAAGTTGCAAGAGCTACTATGAAGACTCAAAGGCTCCACTGGACAGTAATGCACAAAGAATATGCAATTCCTTGCTTGGGCCACACCAGTGCCTTGCCCCAGGCCTGCCTCAGTTACCTTATCTACAAAACAACTAGATTAGTCTAAGCCTTTTCTAGTTCTAAATTCTGGGGTTCTTTGTATCATATAAAAGCAAAAAGCAGAATCCCAGTGAAGTTCAAAATAACTTAGCATTTCTACTTTATGTGGACACATGAATTAATTTACTGAAATGAATATTTTATATGTATCAACTGCAGTATGCAAATATTACAACAGGATTGATCATCTCAGCTGGGTTTGCCTTTAAACTACTGCCAATTTAAACACAGTTTTCTTAAGAAAGCTGCATTTTGCTATTAATTAAGAAACCTGATCATCTTATTAGGGATATTATGACAACTTAATTGATTAACTGAATCCAAGGAATACATTTTGTAGGATTCCAAAAGGAATGGGTAAAACAGGAGAAGCATAGTCCTTCAAAGACACATCCTAAATTTAAAGGAAACAGTATGAGGGAATCCTAGCCTAAAGAGCAGATTCCCAGACTGGTGATGTAAAAGGACATTTTAAACTCCACTAAAATCCTACCAGGGTTTCTGGGACTATGCTACTGGAGAACAAACTGATCTGGGTGCTACAATTCCATGCCAGTGAAGCATAAGCTCCGGTGGGTGTGAACAAGCAGAAACTGATGACCAATGCATGCCAAGTAAGGACCAACCTAGTTCACTTATTAGATGTTCATCATTAGGCTAGCCACATATGATGCATTTCTTTGCCACAGCAGCTCTCAAACCCATCTCCTAAATTGCACAGGGGTTACAATCCAATTGGTGGCAGGATCACACAAATCAATGGAATTATGGCTCACTGAAGTAAGTCCTAGAGAAGAGATTTTAAAGTTGTTGGGAGAGTCACACCTCTACATCTCTGCCTCTACAGTTCTATTCAGTGGTCTGGCACCATGAAAAATATATTCTACCTACTTCAAGAAACTAGTCTGAGTTTTCCTGGAGGATGATGGAAAGACAGCTCAAGTAAAGGGAAGAAAAAAAATACATGATATGAGTTTCAAGTAGCAGTTTTACTTTCACTTCCTAGCTACTGATTTCCATTACTGTCTGGGTCATTTTCAGTAGACTTTGGTCTAAGGGCAGAAACTGACCTAAAAGTTTAACAGGGTATTGCAATGGATAGAATGTTGGGCCTGCAGTCAGGAAGACCAGAATTCAAATTCAGCCTTGGGAATTTGCTAGCAAGTCATTTACCCACTGTCTGCCTCAGTTTCGTCATCTGTAAAATGAGGATAACTACCTACCCGGGTTGTTATGAGAATAAAATGAGATAATATCTGTAAAGCGCTGTGCAAACCTAATTAAAGCACTATACAATCACTAGCTATCATTATTAAAGGTTGAAAAAGTGGGTGTCACTGTATTTTTACAACCACATGGCACAGCTCTGTTCTTACTTCCCTAGAAGCTCCTCAAAAAAGCTGGGTCATTTTCAAAGTTGCTTTTAAGTACTATAAAAGCTACATCACTAACTCAACAGGCTTCTGATCTGCTCCTTTTCAAAGAAATAAAAAGAGAAAATTGTCATACTTTCAGTGAAATGGAAAAGATGGGGAAAATATATGGGAACCAGGAGATGCAACCTAAATATAGAATATGTATTACTAAAGTCATATCCATTACTGAGGTAGATAGAATCAGGTTAAAGACAAATACATAGAGTTGTCTACATATTACTTGTGGGGATGGGGGCTAGAAGACATTTACAGATCAACAGCTTTGAGAACCTAGTCCTCTTACAAATGATTACTAGTATGACACACTTAAGACAAAAACATCGAACTATATCCTTCTCCTTTGGGAGTCAGCTGTCTTCCTACCTTCCTCCCCCATACCCTTTAAAGCTCCACCCGCCACCATGTTAAAGATGTAGGTTTTTAACACAGGATGAAGGAGCAATCATGTGGTATGAACGTCTACATTTGAACCTGAAACTGGATTCATCCATCTGCAGCTGGGATTCAAGAGCTTCCACACACTTTTAACCCTCTCTATCTAGCTCCAGGTAGAAAAACCACAGGAAGGGGGAGCATACAATGTGTCCCCCAGAAGAAAAGAAAACTTTTGCCTCCAGAAACTTATGCAAGATGCTCATCAATAAGTGCCTGATAATTTGCATTTGAGCGATGGCCTTGTAACTCATAATACACCCAAGGATTGCAAAGTTTCGTTATATATATTAATAAGGCCTTCCTTAATCTATTTCAAGAGATCATAAAAAGAAATAAATGAATGTTCAATAGAGAAATATGGCCCTTTGTAAATATTTTAAAATTTGGGAAGAATATTATGATAAAACATTTTCCTGCAATTTCAGAAGCTATGTCAAATAATTTCTTTTAGCTACTATACTAGATTTGACAGGTGACAAATATTCCTAACAAGTACCTTTATATGGATAAAAATGTGTTAAGCTCTTATAAACTAATTCAATAAAATGATATAAATAGAATATTTTAAAATGTCTTCCAAGAGGCCTGTGTTAAGAATTTTAAAAATACTTCTTTTTATGACCAATGAAATTTTCTTACCTGTAATGTCATATAAAAAATCCCATAATTGCTCCAGTTCCATATAGTTGACAAAGACCCTTCCAAGTGACTGAGGAGAAAGACTGCAATAGGATAGCAACTTGAAGATTGCTTCTGTCAAACTAGGTTCTTGGTTAGGCATCTTTCCCGCATGAGGAACTTTTTCTTCGTATTTTGATAAGGTACCTTCTTGAAAATAATAACAATAATATATTAATATAATACCAATGAATATGATATAGTTCTTATCAATGACATTATACTAGATCATATGAAAATTAATCTGAATTGCATTCGCTTAAAAACATAAGAAGCACAAGAATTGCTCAGACCAATTCTCCACCTGACTCAGTATTTAGTCTCTGACAGATACCAGGGACCTTTTTTTTGGGGGTGGGGGTGGGGAACAGTTTCCATAATGACTTTCTTCAAAAATTATGAACGTTTTTTCTCTCTCTCCCCCTCCCTCCCTTTCTCTCTGTCTGTCCATCTGTCTCTCTCCTTCCCTTACTGACTCTTTACAGATTTATCAATATCTATACATTTTGAAGCTATTTAGATATATTTTCAACCATTGCCTCAGTGTCATCTCTTGGTATAAGGAGTTCCTTAAATTTATCACCCATTTCTTTCAGACTTCATGGGAAATAACCTTTATTCTAGAATTCTAAAATCTGATGTGCATCTTATCAATACCAATTAAGATTTTTATAAACTTTGATCACATTTCCTGATTGAACGGGACTACATTTCTCAATCTCTCCACTCGTGGTATTACTACATCTTAACGATCATTTTGGTGGACACCCATACGACACCACAGCTACCTCCTTTATGTGTTTTGAAGTATGGGAACCATAGAGCCCAGGTTTTAAATTTCATCTCTGCCACTTGCTAACTGTGCTATCCTGGGCAAATCATGTCACTTCACCCCCCCCAAGCCTCAGTTTCCTCTGTAAAATGAAGGGGTTGAACTAGATGGCTTCTGGAGTCCCTTCCAAGTCTAAATCTATAATTCTATGATCCTATGAACCTACAGGCAGTATTATGGGTGATATATGCTTTTGTACAAGGATAGGATGATACTTTGTACTTTGTTTTTGATTCTCAGAATTACGTGCCCCTCTCAATCAATCAACAAACCTTTTCAGTGCCCTCTATATGCTAAGTGCTAGGAGTACAAATAGAAAACTGAGACAAGATAGCACCTGCCCTCAAGGAGCTTACATCCTATCGGGGACATGAAACATGTTCACAGCTAAAGAAATATGAGATATATACAAAATACAGACAGTACAGATGGGCAAGTTGGGACAAGAGCTGAACAGGAGGAGGACAGCAGACTGGATTGCCTTGGGAAACTGCATAGTTCCTTTAGTGACACTAAGCTTTTCAATGAAATAAAGACCTATGTTTTTAATATAATATCCTAAGGATATAGCAGTAAGATATGGAATACAACAGTCTCCCAAAAACTAAAAACTAGTATCATGCAGAGGGCAATGGAGAGAAGTACATGGTGGGTATAAGCAGGTTTTAACATAAAATCAATGAGGAACTTGAAAGAAGAATAGAAGTAAAAGATGTCATCAAGGAAATGTATGATAGAAAGAAGAGAGGGTTGAGTTGTTGGGTGGAAGTGAGGGATGACAGGTAGACAGCTGGTGATCTCTCGATGTTAGGAGAAAGCATGGTGGGGGGGGCAGAACCAAGATGGCGGAGTGAGAAAGCATGGGAGACTGATAGCACATTACATAAATCTTCTGAAGCAAACATGGAAAGCCATGAAGAAATATTGTACAAGAGCTACGGACAGGTTGAGATTTGTATTGCTGGAGTAAACTCCCAAGACAAGGAGATCATAGATCTATTGGAGTATGGGGATGAATACAAAATTATTCCTAGGGTATTGGGCACTTACAAATAGGAAAACTAGGGAAGATTTCTTGAAAGAAGTGGCATTTAAGCTGAGGCTTGAAGAGAGATAGGGGTATCATGAGGTAGAGGTGAAGAGGCAGGACATCTGAGATGTGGGGTACAGACTATGTAAAGACCTGGTGATGAGAGGGGAAGATAGAACGTAGCATGTGGAGAGTAGCCAGTAGACTGCTTTGGCTAGAGTGTAGGTGGCATGGGTGAGAGTAATATGTAATCAATCCAGAAAGATAGCCTGAAGCCAGATTGTGAAGGGCATTAAATGTCAAAAATAGTCACTGAAATTGAAAAGTGGAGTCAAAACTATCCTTGCCCTATTTTAGTCTTCATACCTTCACTGGGAATATCTTAATCAATTGCTCATTCATAGGTCTTAGACTAGGTGCTCAAAGGCCCTTAAACTGGAATGAAGTTTGCAAGAATTATGTTTGTATAGGCTGAAGAAGTTTGGCTATGTCCCAAGTATTATCTACAAAGTATTTCAGAAACTGGAGCAAGCTCGGCATTCTGGCTGAACTCTTGTGCAGGAACCTCTTGGGAGGTAAAGGAGATACTTTAGCCTTAGCCAGGTTTTTCTTCATTCTCTGATTTGACTAGAAGACCCTGCAAGCTTTGAAGGGTGTGGAGGAAGTTGGACCTCCCATCTCCCTTTCACTATCCAAAACTTATATCTAGATCAGCTATCAGTGGGATCTGCATTGGTTGCCAAGGCCAATGGATGTAAATTAACCATAAACCCTATGAATGGGAGGAAAGGATTCTAGTAACTAGGAACTGAGTTACCCCTCTGCCACATGTGCTCACTACACCTGAGCCCACTTTCCCCTGGATTCCATATGTATTTACAAGAAAGTATATCACAGACTTTGGGAGGGATGTTTTGTACCAACTCTTCTTACTTTACCATGTTGGAAAATACCTCTTTCTAAAAGCTACTCAAGGCTGACTGGCTAAATGAATCTTAACTGATAATCTTGTGGGGGAAGGAAACTTGTAGTGGTTTGAACAGATGACATTAGAGAATCACCCATGATCCCTCAGGGTTTCCCCAAGGATCCTGAAAGGGGGATATACAGCCAAACTTTGGGGAGTCAACTCATGAGTGGAGTGGGAACTAGGATGAGAATTTTCAGTGTCACATGAGAAGCTACAGAAGTTTCATGATGATAGTGGAATGACATGGTCAGATTTGTGCTTAGGAATAATGAGGCAGTTATATGGCACAATGACAGGAAGATGACTTAAAAACATTTTAAAAAACCTATTATTATAAGGATAAAGCAGAAGTAATTTATTTTCAATAGCCATTTTCATTAAAGTACCAAAAGCAAACACATAAGTGAACAATCTAAGTGAGATTTTAAAAATTATTCCATTAGTCATGCATATGAAATCATTTTAATAATATGCATGATTTTGAAAAAAGATTAACTTCTTGGGATAAAAATGAGAAGCTGGTTCTCTTCAAAGCATTTTTAAAAATTATTTTTAAAAGTTCTAACAATGGAAGTTATTTCAGAAAACTGATGGTGAATCATGCCACCCTTGGCAAAAGCATTGCCCTTTGGCCAAAAATTGATGGACTGAAGGCACAGAATGAAACATGAATTTTCAGATATAGCCAATGCGTCGGGTTGTTTTTGCTTGAATATACTTCCTTGTAACAAGAAGGGGCTTCCATGGGAAGGGAGAGGTTTAGAGGGTACTGACAGGGATAAGAAAGAAAAGATCATCAACAAAATTATTTTAAAAGCACATCCCCAAAACAGAAATTCAAAAGGATACACAAATAAGGCAACTGTGTTACTGCCATGTTAATTTTAATATACATTTAAAAAGAAAACTATATATCCTCTTTTTTGTTCTTTGTATTCTATAATATTAATGTTTATGGATAACTGTTTAATCTAATTCAGTAAATGCATATTAAGTGTGTATTATGTGTAAGACACTAGAGTAGGCAATATGGAAAGTCCCAAAAGGCATAAGATATGGTCCCTCCCCCCACGAAGCTTAGCTTCTGGAAGAGGAGCTACGACATATACAGAAATAATTGGATATAACACTGGTATCCTATTCACAAAGCTTCAGGACCAGGAGATAAGGAATATGAGCAATTTAAGAAAGGAGCCAAGCTGAACATGAGGAAGAGTGATTATAGAAATAGTAGCCTTTAGGTGCTGCCTTGTGTTCTTCCTTTCTGATTGTTTGACAGTACCTAAAGATGCAGGCCATTTTTGCTCTATGGGGAAAAATCCCCTATCTTCCAATTTTCTAGTGTAAAAGGAGGCATTTACATGCATAATTATGTCTAGGTACGTAGATAGGCTGCCTGTATGAAAGGTAAACCTCAGATTCAGGCTGCCTGTGAAGCCTGAGTCTTTTCATTGACAGAATCACCTGCAATAAAGCCCCAGGGAGGATGCCTTCCCAGCTCCCTGTGGGAGTGGAAAAGCTTATCTGTGGGGAAGAGCAACTGAGCTCCTGGGTTGGGGGCTTGTTGAGAGAGAGAGAGAGACAGAGAGAGAGAGACATAGAGAGAGAGAGAGAGGCAGAGACAGAGAAAGACATAGAGAGACAGAGAGAGTTGTTGTTAAGTTGTTTTTCAGTCATGTCTAGCTCATCATGATCCCATTTTGGGGTTCTCTTGGCAAAGAAACTGGAGTGGTTTGCCATTTCCTTCTCCCGTTCATTTTCCAGATGAAGAACTGAGGCAAACAGAGTTAAGTGACTTGCCCAGGGTCACAGAGGTAGTAAGTGTAAGAGGCTAGATTTGAACTCATGAAGATGAGTCTTCCTGACTCCAGGCCTGGCACTCTATCCATTGCACCATTTAGCTGCCCTAGAGAGATAGACACAGAGAAGTAAAAAAGTGCGTCAGCACAGGTAGAGATTACTTCCTCTTGGGGCAATGAGAAAAAGTTTCACGAACGAAGTGATATTTGAACTAGCAGGAATAGTAAAAAAGTTAGGGAGAAAGGACATTTTAGGCACGGGGAATCAACAAAGCAAAGGGTCTATACAAGGAAGGGCAAACAATCTCATTTAATTGGAGTTTAGGGTACAGAGAGAGCAGTGGAATATAAATTTGGAAAGAAAGCTTGGGGCCAGATTTTAGAAGACCCTAAATGCCCAACGAAGGAGTCTGGACTTCAGTCAAAAAATGAGGAGTGACTGAAGACATCTGATGAGGGGAATGACAGAATCAGAATCGAGCTTTAGTTATATTAATCTAGATGGATTCAAGAGGGGAC